ACAGCAGGGAACAAAAGTACGCACAAATGAAAAAAAACATGAATATGAAACAGTACACATGAGAGTGAAATCAAACTGGATGATTAATGAAATGCTGTTTGGAATAGGTGGGTCTTCAGAGCACATTTAAACTCATGGGAAGTAGCACTATCACGAATATTTTGAGGAAGTTTGTTCCATAACATAGGTCCAGCATGATAAAATGAATGGTCCCCCCAAGATTTAATAGTTTTAGGCACAACAAGCAGGGACGAATTTGCAGACCTGAGGTACCTAGCAGGGTTGTAAGAAATGAGCAAATCAGAATTATATCCAGGGGCAGAACCATGTAAGCAATGAAAAACAAGCAAAAGTAATTTGAAAACTATTCGAAACTGTACTGGCAGCCAATGGAGGGAACGCAGAACTGGCGTTATGTGAGTTTTACAACTAGTTAGAGTAACTATGTGAGCAGCTGTGTTCTGGAGTTTCTGTAATCGGGCAAGCTGTGTTTTGGGTAAATCATAAAGAAGAGAGTTGCAGAAGTCTAAACGGGATAATATCAGGGCATGAACAATCTTTTCAGTGGCTGAACGAGTTAAGTATTTTCTGATAGTACCAAGGTTACGCAAATGATACCGAACAGATTTACAAGTAGCAGATACTTGAACAGACATGGACATATATGAATCAAACATAACGCCTAAATTTCTACAAGAATCCGAAATGCAAATGATTGAATTATCTATGTTAACAGATGGGATATCTACTTTAGCCAACTGCACTTTTGAACCACAATGTATCATTTCAGATTTATTATAATTAAGTCTCAAGGAGTTGGAGCCCATCCAGGATCTGACATCTTCAATACAATCCTCCAGTCTCTTCATAGCGGTCGCAGCATCAGCTTGGTTGGGGGGAAACGACACATAAAGCTGAATGTCATCCGCAAAGCAGTGGTAGTTGATTGAATGATGACGGCGTAAGACGTGTTTCAGTCCTGTCAAATAAATGGAAAAGAGCGTTGGCCCTCCAACTGAGCCTTGTGGGACTCCGCACTTCAACATAACTGGATCTGATTTTGCTCCATGGATGCAAACTATTTGATGACGAGTAGATAAATACGACTGAAACCAATGAAGCGCCTGGCCACCAATACCAAGTGAAGACAGGGTATTCAAAAGTATCTCATGGTTGACTGTGTCAAATGCAGACGATAAGTCCAATAGCACAACGGCAGTGATTTTTTCCAACATCCATTTCTCTAAGAATGTCATTGGAAAGATTAACTAGCAAAGTCTCAACACTATGATGAGGGCGGTAAGCGGACTGTCGGTTGTCAAAAAGGTTGTTATCCCGAAGATACTCTGAGAGTCTGGAGAAGACGACACGTTCCAGAACCTTTGAGAGGTAGGGCAGGTTCGACACAGGCCGGTAGTTTTGCAGAACCTCTGGGTCAAGAGATGCCTTCTTCAAAAGAGGATGGATATATGCCAGCTTCAGAGCAGAGGGAACTTCCGCTCGTTGGAGGCTTAAGATCACGGTCTGGGCTATAATTGGTGCAAAGATACGAGCGTTATCCTTAAGAAGCCTTGTGGGAATCGGGTCCAGATCACACGACTTCGCTGGCGTATTGCGGATAAGAGATTCAATTTCCCCTGGGGAGGTAGGCTCGAAAGAATCCATGGCTACTGAATTATGCGTAGGCGGTAGCCTGGTCACATCTGGATGAAGAGTGTTGCAAATGGTACTTATCTTTGATATAAAGAACTGGCTGAAGCGTTGAGCCATCGATTCACTGCACCCATGAGAAGGAAGAGGGGATACCTGCTTGCGGTTCAGAAGTTTGTTGGCAACAGAGAATGAACGCTTGGAGTCGTTCCCACAAGCCCTAACAGCATTGATGTAATACGTTCGTTTCGCTATGCGAACCAGGGAGTTGACATGTTGACGTTGAATGCAGTAAAGTTGTTTATCAATTTCTAGTCCGCCGTTTGAGCGCCACTTGCGTTCTAGCCGCCTCCGTTTCTGTTTCTCGACTGCTATCTCTTGGCCGTACCACAAGCAACCTAGACGCTTCTTGGCATGTCGAGTTCTAGCTGGTGCATGGGTGTCTAGAATCGTTCTCAAGATATGATTATAACAATCGACAGCAGTCTCTGCACTGTCTGAATCTGCTGGCATGATGCTACTATGCTGTAGATCTCGTGTGAACTCAGCCCGGTCGATTGCCTTAATGTTCCGCATTACCATCATTCTACCGGACTGGCGAGCTTTTTGCAGGTGTAGATGACAGGTGATAGCGCAGTGATCAGAAATGCCTGGCAAAACTTGAAGGTTTGAGTAAATCACATCTTCAGAGACGTCTGTTATGAAGATGTCAAGAATGTGACCCTTCTCATGAGTAGGACACGTTACTCTCTGCGAAAGGCCATGGCCATCGAGTAACTCATTGAATCGCTTGGTGTTAGGTGCAGATGGTTTGTCTAAGTGGATATTGAGATCACCAGTTAAAACATAAGGTGAAGGTCTGAAGATGCGTTCATCAAGCATTGAAGAAAATTCATCAATAAAGTCAGTGAAGGCAGACTGGGATCCCGGAGGTCTATATACTACAACAATATCCATGCTGGTGTTGTTGGATGTTGCAGTGGCTGACATCATCTCAAAACTCTGATGGCCCTGTGATGGCTTGATTTCCAGATTCAGCTCATCGCGAAACAGAAGGCCGACTCCGCCACCTCGCCTTGATGCTCTTGGCTGGTGCTTGAAGTTAAAGCCTCTGGGAACCAGATCAGCGACCACCGCATCATCAGATGAAGTCAACCATGTCTCACATATACAGACAATGTCGAAACCGTTATCCAGGACAAAATCTTGAAATTCTGTTGATTTGTTTCGGAGTGATCGAGCATTCAACATACAAAAGTTCAGATAGTTGTGATTTAGCTCCGTATTTGGCGTATGGGCAGAAGGGACAGGCACAGAAGATTCTTGGTGTGAACACTGCACCCGTCGTCGCCTTGCACCTTTACTCCCACGATGAGTCTTTCTTCTGCGTAGAATGCCCAGGGTTTTAACTTACAATCTTGCTCAACTTAGTGTGAAGAGGGCAATGGCGATCATGCACAAGAATACACAGCGATGGACGAACAATTTACAGCACAATTACAAACGTGTTAATATAAACGCCATAAATAAATTTACCATAAATTTAAGGTTCAAATATAGCAAACAAAAGTACAAATTCATGTAGAAAGTGAATGTACAAAACTGCGACTTCAATTTGACTTTAAAATTACCAGGTTCCAAAATATCACAATTGAGACTGTGCATCTAACAACAGAATGCAGTCCAAACTTCCAAGATTGTATGTCTGGGTACGCACCTGGACATTAAAGTATTCGTTGTTCATTGACAGCTGCTAGGAACCAGACCTTGGTTCTCTGTTCAAAGTACAAAATAATGATTCCTACAGAGTTCTTTTCAAGGCCTACATATCGACCCAGCAAATACATTATGTACTATTTTCAATGTTATATTTCAATCGCGTTTCTATTATTCTACGCAGCATCTATCAGACTACAACCAGCAAGCATTCAGCTACAGTTAACACCGGTTTTCACATGAATTAAACTTCTTTTAAACTTTATTTGGTAAACTTACGATTCAATTACACATCTTCAATCCTTTACTTTGTTCACATCAAAATTATATTGAACAGTCACCATCATACGCAGTAATAATAATCATTTTAGATTTCTTTGTTAATCTCGATTTTTTTTTTACGCAAACAGAAATTTATAACCAACTCATAACCAAAGCCAAACCATTGTAATTCGTCTTTTAACTTAAAAATCTAAACTAATCTTACACTACTTTCTATGGCTTGGTCTACCTATAATCCAGAGACACTACTTAACTAACCAGTTTCTCACGTCTTTTAACTAGTTTATAAAAGCACTGTATTAAGTGTAAAGGTTCTATGGACAGCTGTATATGAAGCAATTTTCCAATGTACAGCAAGAGCAAAGAAATAGCTGCCACAAAACTGCCATCCACAGCATTACAAAACATGCGCACATGATCACTTAATAAAAGAAATCATAAGTGAAACATTACAACTTTTTCTGAAGTAATGGCACTAATTTTCACAGTTATGTCAACACATGTGGATGTGTCTACCTACACGATAACTCTTGGAGCTGCGATGAAACTACAAAACTTAATTGTACTCTACACAGCGGTGACATGAATATGAAAGGTTCTCTGAGCTTTGCACCTCTGAACACTTTACATTAAAAAAAAAGTTTATCTTTTGTGAGTATTAGCTCGAGTCTCATAATTTTGTCATATGACCACTCCTCACACATTCTATTTATTCAATCTCTTTGATCTTCGGCATTGTTTGATTTCCTTAGTAATCACACGCAAAACAAACAAAGAAAGCATAACCACTCATACAAACCTTTAACGGTAAAAATTACCACACAGTTTATGCTACGAGTTTACAATTAAAAAAAAATTGAGTACGTCTCAGGGCATATCTTGTTAATTACAACTTAATTACAGTCCTTGAAACAGTTCGCATTTGACTACAACTCATACCAATCATTAGCATAAAAAAACACTAAGGTTTTAATAAAATATTTTACTCCTTGCACCATGTGAATGCCACGTTAAAAGAAGTCACTTAAAGAGAAAAAAAAACATAAATATTTCTAAGACAGAAATAGTGATTGAATAAAACTTCAGTGATTTTTTTCATCCATCTGAGAAGACAAGATTCCAGGAGAAGACTGTACTAAGCACCAGCTCCATTCCTTGGTAGGATTTTTTGGTTCAGGAGAAAAAAAACTCATAATGAATGCCCACCAGAAGAGAACAAAACGAAAGAACCTAAAGGGAGGAAGGAATAAGTCTCGGCAATAGTTATAATATCAACGCATTGATGAAGATCACAGCAGGGAATTCACGCCACACCACCACCTCAGCTTGTATATATTTCAATATTATTTCAATAAGTTTTTATTGGTTTCGCTTAAACTGTTCAACGAAAGCCTAAACCTACAATCACCTAGATTTAAGAACAGATTTGCTTGGTGCTATCATCAATGCATATATTCTGAATAAGAAAACCAATATACACTCTTTTGCTACAAGACTAGTTTGTTGGTTACCAACTAAAAACACCATGAATTCACCTTTTTATCTCTCTGTTTTTAATGTGTTTTTTGTATGCTTAACTAATCTAAATAATCAACTGCTCGACTACATGATAGTTGGTATCCTGCTCACAGATCACTCTCGCCATACAAAGCTGTTAAGTAGGACAGGTAATCTAGGGCACCAGGGATAGCATCGGGTCCTTGGTAGGGTGCCATTCTTGCAATGCAGTACTCAGCCTGGTCTGGAGGAAGCTCCCGCATCAAGTCTTCTTTCGTGATGTAGTTCTAGGGGATGGAGAATGGAAACAAGATAATGTAACTCATGGATTCATAAAGACACGACATGCATAATCCAGCTGAACCAGCAAGTCTAAATACAACAGAATGGAAGTAAACTCTATAAGTCTTTGGACTGGTTACAGTAAGAAGGAACTTGCCACACCGAGAATTTGCGAGAAGTCACAAATAATGGAATTCAAAGCTGTGTTGAAAGGAACACAATGGCAGTACACAAAAATGAGGATCTAAAAGAGTGGTATGACTGAGTAACAAAATACTTGAATGCTGGTCAATAAAGTCATCACAGGCTACGTAGGTCTTGCTCCTGCTGTGCATAACGTGCGCAGCTTCTGGTTACCAGCAATGCAACCAACCTAAATACACTGGTTCTGAATAGTTTACTAGTATTGTCCAGCGATAACTGACTAGGATGAGTTTGAGTAAAGTTTTTGCAGAGCTTTTAAAATGTAACTGACAAACTTCAGAGCTAAAAGTTCATCAAGTATAGTTTGTAATTGCTACATCATGATTGCAATCCAAAAATGTTTTTGTTACACCCACCTTATTGCCAGCGAGCACTTTGAATGACCCCTTGACCTGCTCTGATGTGTCCGTGTCGGTAGCCTCACGTGACATGTAATACAAGAAGGCCTCAAACGTGACGTAGCCGTCATGGTTGGGATCAACGCTCTGCATGATGCGATCAAACTCCGGGTTTCGTCCCGACTTGTCATCGGGCGGGGCCATACTGAGGGACAACAGGCAGGACTTGAACTCCATGGGATCCAGCTTGCCAGAGTGGTTCTGATAAAAGAGAAGATGTAAACCTCTCTAGCATAATCGAGGAGTAACAAAATAACACATTGAATCACGCATAAAAGTTGCGGGACCTCGCTGCATCGTGCCATTAACACCTGTGCATCAACAGCCAACTCTGAAACAATGAAAGATAGTCCCAATGAACACTCACTTTTATATCATGCGGCAGTTGGAGACCAGAGAAGGGTTTCTAGCCGAAATACCAAAGGTGTAAGGATTAAGGTTTACCAGTGATAGTAGCATCGTAAACCAGGTTGCATTTCACATTCTAAAACCGTCCCGTTTTTAAGACTATAACATGGAATCAGGCTAATAATTCTAATCAATTTAAAATGCAATGCAGGTCAAGAAATAGTGTAACAACTTTGGGCAGTATATTTAGGTCCAATGGCTGGAATTATAAGAAAAGGACAACGCTGACAATGGATTCCTTGCACAAGTACCGGGGGTACCTCCTCATCCAGTATATCTTGAGTGCTATTGCCAGAGCAAGCCAAGTGCTATAGCGAAGATATTACAGAGTAGAATGCAAAATTAACAGGTTGTAACTCGAGGTTTTACTCGGTTTTACAGGGTAACTCAGGGTTCAACCTAAGGTAAACCACGTACTTAATAAGCCAGTTCGGTATTCCAACTACGCATGCACACATTGATATGGGTCTCGGGTCGTTCGAGATAATCCAACGTGCATCAAAGGCAAATGAATGCGCAAGGAGATGGGCGCACGACGCTTGCGTGTTAATTACGAGCAGAACGAGCGTTTGTGTAGAATCGCGTAACATCACGTCAGCAATTTTTTTCCAAGTGACCTTTGATCTAGACTAATACCGATCTGGCTTATGCTGCATTCTTCCCTAACACTGGTTGTGCATAGCTTGCACCAGTGCACACATGCAGTGTGATCTGCACTCGGAGTTCTCACAAGTGGTCAAAGAGCATTGCAGTTTATGCAGGAACTTTTATTTTGGTTGCAAAAGTCCAACATAACCTTTTCGGGAAAAGAACCTATAGTGCAAAATTATATTGAAATTGGAGGATTCAGGACTGTTAGGGCTATAGGTAATTTGCAATATTTGCAAAATATTCCAAAACAAAACTGCCAAACTGTTTTGAATATCCTTCTTTATTGTAAGCATATTTAATAAGTGTTCACTGTTGTGATGTGGGATATGATGTTTTAAACACCAGAGGGGCGAAAAGCACCTTCTGCTTTGCCTCGGATGCTATGCGCCCCTCGGGTGTTCAAAACGACAAATCCCATATCACAACAGTCAACAATTGTTTTGTTACACCTCTGTCCTGGGTTCTTTTGATTTTGAAGTAAAAATCACGAAAAACAAACAACAGTAAACACAACAATCATGACAATCGAGCAGCAACCCACATGCATGCCGCGTGCTCGAAACAGCTGATGGTCTGCTAGTTCGCTGCTCCCTCTCATATGTGAAAACATGGTGAAAATAGCGTGGGTACCAACGATACAAGCATGTACCATACGTACAAAGTCATAGCACACTCACTGTGGGATATCATGTACCCACAGGGAGTGTGCTATGACTTTTTATAAACTTAACATGTGATCGGTGTATGCCAATGCAAATACAGTATTCAGAGCAATAACAACTTGTATTGTTCCTTGAATTGGCAACATTTCCATTGGTCAGATTTTGACAAACTATCATACCTTGTCAAATTTATTGAAAGACTGCCTGAAAATCTCGAACTGCTCCTCTGTAATGCCCTTGGAATCCCTGGTCAAAATCTGGTTCTTTAACTCATTGATGAGACGTCTTGTTGTCGTCACCAGCTGCTCATAGCCAACGCGGATCGTCTGATTGGACAACAAATAATGAATATTCATTACACAGGTGTTTGACAGTGAACATGCTCAGTTCCTGCAGCCTGATCAGTCAACACACAATATCTATTAATTGACGATGAAACTGACTGGAGGCATCAGGTAATCGTAGCCAACACGCACAATCTGGTTGAAAAAACAAACACTGAATATTCACTTATAAGGAGTCTGCCTTTTATTTGCTGCTCCTGGCCAAGTTCTATTACTGGAGAACAATGAATATTCAACATTAACTGCTCAAAACTTTGTCTGATTCGACAACACATCAATATCCAAATATATAACACATTCCAGTACATATATCGCCTTGTCCGTGCAACAAGGTCGTATCTTCTAAAATAGCGTGTGACGTCATGAACCTAAACGTGAGTTTTAAATGTTATAAGGTCGTTTCTCGCTTAAAGCCCGAGTACATCATTTGCAGCTATCCGAAAAGTAACTGGCGTAATTATTGATGGAAAACATACTTGGTTGAAAGATAGTAAGGGGACTAAGCTCCCTGTGAAATTATTTATTCTAGCAAACTGTCTTTTTGAAGAAATCAACGAAAGAATGCCTTTCCAACGGTGCGTCTTAAGAAGTTCAGTACCCTTTTTTAGATTTTGAGCACTTTTGTTGTTTCAAATGAACAAAACGCATAAATTCCAAATGATTTCATCAGGTTAGTTGTTTAGTACCCTTCTTTAGATTTTGAGCACTTTTGTTGCTTCAAATGAACAAAATGCACAAATTCCAAATGATGGACTATATCTTTGAAATAGCCCAGATGTATGCACAAAGTCATTGGACGTAGCACGGAGCGTATTCGCAAGGGATACAACTTTGTTGCAGAATCGAGTTACGACCTTGTTGCACTGACACGATGTATGCGTCATTCTATAAATCTGGTGTCAACTTTTCTCCTATCCCTGTCACATCTGACATCTATGATTTCATACTTCTATGCAGTCATCCTCCAAGACTGATTATGAATAGGAAACTGTACCTACCAAACAAATAAAAACAAATGTTTGAACTTATACTTAATGATACAGGGATAGGAACAAATGTCACATTTGGACCCTCCTTTTCTAGACTGACCCGCATTTAAGTGCCTTTCGTCTGCTAACCTACGACCTTACACTTCTAACCTGCTGAACTCTGATCCTTACCTCCATAGTGTACTTGGTGTGTTCATTTTCAAAGATAATGGCTTCTTGAACCGATTGGTTGTACATCTCCAGCTCGTCCATGTGAGCCTTGTAATCTACAACCTGGGGAAGAGGAAGACAACCCGTCAAAATCACTGCACAGAAGAGCATGTTTTATCATTAACCGAAAACTTAAACGTACGTGATTTGGTGAAAGTGCAAATGAGCTGTAACCAAATGCCATCACAACGTTCAAAGTGACGAATCCCTGCTCAACTGTGCACTATGCTGTGGCTGTTGAAAACCCAGATGCAATATGAACCTCAGTCGCTCGTTTAGAATATTTGGCAGAACTAGTGAAACGACTGACTGTCACAAAGTGTGATTTATATTTTTAAATAATGTTTTAATTGTTGTATTCATCATTGTTTTTATTCAAGTAATTAATTTCTCAGACTTCCTCAGTAGATGTACGATGCAAATACATGTAGACACTAGTATGTGACAAGTTCTGTAAATTACTGATTTCCAGAGATGATTATAAATGGTGTGTATCATCTTAAGTGGGGGGCTGATGTCACAAAGTGTGATTTATATTTTTAAATAATGTTTCACTTTTTATTCAAGTAATTAATTATGGGATTTTCACTTATACATTTATTTTAGCACAAGTTACGAGTGTACAGCAGAGTTCAATCTTTCTTATGTTAATGACAGTATGCAAATTAATGCTTTGGTTGAGTAATTTTGTTAGGTCTTAGATGCCATGTGCATTCCCCAGGGCACTGCTATTCTAGACTTCACTGTGTGCAGTCCTGTGGAAGTGCATGTATATACAGTGGTACTGTGTGTACCAGGGCGTGGCCCATGATTTAAAAGCCAGTTTATCCTGAAAACTGTAAGTTTTATTTCATCCTGCTTTATACACTATAATTCAGTAATAGAAGTACATAATACAGACATTATATTTTGGGAGAATAGTGATAGTCCAGAAATGGTGCATTTTGAAGTTAATCTAAGAGATTGATGTATAGAATTGCCTTTTGTAATCAAGTTTATTTCCATTAAAATTAATATAGTTGATGAAGTAAGATAAATTGTAAGAATTTGTGAGTTTTTTGAATGCAATTTTCATTCCAGAAATTTGGGTTGATATTTAGCATGGGAGCAAATGTAAATTTGATCATAAGTCGGTAGGCACTCTAATTTTCACTGTGAATTATGTTTAACCATTTTCCAAAGGGCTTTTTCCCTGTGGGGAACTTCATGAGGTCAAGGTCAGAGGTCCTTAGTGGACAACTGAGTTCAAGACCCCTGTGTGGATTTGACTCCCGATTGACAAATCGATTCCTTTGTGGGGCGAGTCGGCTAGAGTCGACTAACCGATTCCTGTGTGGACTGTCGGTGCAGTAGATGCTTACCTACCTACCTGCTGACAAGGTGATCTGACCCTGTAGCAGCCGGGCTGACCTGATCCCATCGACTTCCAAGTACATGTGGGATTGGTGAGACACGGAGCCAAGAACAGACCAACGGTTGGAACTGATCTTCTGTGGACAATTACACGCGACCACAGCTAAGTAGTCAATGCATTGACACGTACCTTTTGAACACCTGGTGTGGTACTTCTGAGGTACAGGACACACTACTTCAAAAGCAGTCACCTTACCGGTATTTGGAGGTTTAAAAGATCACTTTCGTGATTTCAAGATTAAGTATAACTTTTTTTTGTAAATATTTTTTTTCATTAAGTAGGTTGTTATTAACTTATTGGGGTAACTGTTGGCTTAGAATAAATCAAATATTAATTATTATTTTGATCATACAAATTCTGCCGTCCTGCGTTTTCTTTTCTGTGCTGCTGTTTTGTCAAGTACATCCACTGTTGTCCTCCTTGAGACTCATGGTGTGACAAATGGGAATCGAATGCATGGTGCTTGTCCGGGAATCGAATGCAAATTTTGACGTAGTGGATGTGTTGACTGAAATTAGTAGACAGTAAAGTTTAACCAGGGAAATACACTAGTTGTCGCCCCTTTGCTTCCTTTACACAGTGTGATTGCGCTAAATTGTTGATCTATTCAACCAAAGGGGACAATTGTTCCTATTGACAGAAGTGATTAGATTGTTTGTGGCTTGTAGACATTCTCACTCGAAATTGTTGATCGGTGCAGAGTTGCGTTGGTGATCATTGCGATAGGGTCGAATCGCGGACGTTGCGCAAATACGGAAAGTGTCACGCAGGCGAAGTATAGAGTGTTCAATGTCCCATATGCATAACTTGTGTAGTTCTGTACTGTTGATCACTCTGTTGCTAATTTACATGGAGTTTGAGAGTTTTATCAAGATAGGACAGGAGATAGGTCTTGAAGGAATGGAGCTGGTCAAGTTTGCTCGTGAGCGAGAGCAATTACAGGAAAAGAAACAGCGGGAACACTACGAGAGGGAAGAACGCAGAATTGAACGGGAGGAGAAGCAACAGGTAAGAGAACATGAACGTGAAATGAAGGCATACGAATTGCGAATAGTGCAGGAACATGCCCCTGTTAGTTCCGACCCTGGAGCTTCAAGTACATTTAGGTACACTCGAAGCTCTGCGAAAACCCCAAACTTCCTTGTTTTAATGATCAAACAGATGACATGGATGCCTACCTCCGACGATTTGAACAGTTTGCGGAACTGAACAGTTGGCCTGAAGAAGAGTGGGGCCTGTCACTTAGTGCCCTTCTCAAAGGTAAAGTTTTGGGGGTGTTTTCAAGGTTACCAGTAGAAAAGGCTAAGGATTTTCTCAGAGATTAAAACTGCTCTTTTGAATCGTTTCAGACTAACAGAGGAAGGATTTAGGCTGAAGTTTAGAACATCAAAGCGGCAAACTGGTGAGCGATATGCTCAGTTTGCTGACCGGTTAAGAGGATGTGTTGAAAGGTGGGTAGAGTTAGGGAAAACAGAGAAATATTACGATAAGGTTGTAGAACTTTTTGTTTCTGAACAGATCCTGGAAGAGGCAGACAAGGACCTCGCACTCTACGTGAAAGAACGGAAGCCAAAGAACCTTGCCGAACTGACGGACATCGCTGACCACTACATGGAGGCTCATGATTGGTTGAAGAAGAAACCAGATGTGGTGAGACCAAAAACACACCCACCTAGGTACCAATCCCAGACCGCAGGTAAGAGTAACAGTCACAAAAGTCCACCCAGTCTAAATGAAAATTCACATGCAAACAGACGATGTTACAAATGTGGTAAAACTGGCCATATTGCTCAGTACTGTAGAACCAATCCAGCTAATGCCCAACCGTCCAGTAAGTCCAAAAAGTTGCAGGTTTGAACGTGGAAACTGAAAGTAAGGAACCATCCCAGCAAGCATAGAGGTCAAGCTATGTCAAGCATAGAGGTCTGTTGTACAGAGAGTTTCAGTCCCCTAAAGTCGACAGAGGTAGAATCATAAAGCAGCTGGTAGTTCCTCAGAAGTATCTGGGTAAGGTGTTGAAGCTTGCTCATGACCCCCCTCTAGCTGGTCATCTAGGTATCAAGAAGATGACTGATAAATTGTGTTTGAGTTTTTTACTGGCCAGGAGTTTCTGGTGATGTGCAGAGGTACTGCAGATCATGCGACATCTGCCAGCGGACAGTGTCAAAAGGACGAGTTGGAAAGGTGTCACTGGGAGAGATGCCACTGATTGATACCCCCTTCAAGCGTATAGCCGTTGATCTGGTGGGACCCATACATCCAATAACCGACCGAGGTAACAGGTATATTTTGGTGGTAGTGGATTATGCAACGCGGTACCCCGAGGCTATAGCTCTTCCTCGAATAGAGTCTGAGAGAGTGGCGGAAGCCTTGCTGGAGGTATATTCAATGTTGGGGATTTCGCAAGAGGTAGGGCCTACTGACAGATATGGGAACCCAGTTTACATCTGAGGTCATGAGGGAAGTGGGAAGACTACTGACGATCAAGCAGCTCACTACGACCCCCTATCATCCCATTTGCAATGGCTTAGTTGAGCGATTTAACGCTACCTTGAAGAAAATGCTGCGACGGATGTGTGCAGAAAGGCCAAAGGATTGGGACAGGTTTCTTCCGGCTTTGTTGTTTGCGTGCCGAGAGGCTCCACAAGAAAGCTTAGGATTTTCTCCCTTTGAGCTGATGTACGGCAGATCGGTGAAGGGACCTCTCTCCATCCTACAGGATATATGGTCAGAGGACACGGTAGATGAAGACATCAAAACTACCTACCAGTATGTTGTTGATCTGCGTGAGAGATTGCAGTCTACCTGTGAGCTGGCAAGAGACGAATTGGCGAAGGCGTCAAAACGGTACCGGAGGTACTACAATGTCAAGGCCCGTGATAGGCGATTTAGAGCAGGAGACAGGGTTCTTATTTTGAGACCAACTGATCACAACAAGCTGTTAATGCAGTGGACAGGTCCATACCCGGTAGTGAGACAAGTTGCGAAGCATGACTACGTGATTCAGGTAAGAGACAAAGAACGGACCTACCATGCCAACCTCTTAAAGCTGTACGTGGAACGAGGTCAGTCTGATGAAGTCACCCAGGTTGAGGTTTTGGCTATGGCAGGAGTTGGGTTTGTTGTGGAGGATCCAGATGAGGAAGATGGGTTGGATGAAGTTGTTCTCCCGCCGGTAGAGGCAAAGGAAGACAGGAGTGATGTTCATCTTGGGGACAACTTGGACGATGCTCAAAGAGCCGATGTTGATGAAATTCTGCAGCGGTACCCACCGGTTCTCACTGATTTGCCAGGTAAGACTCACATTATTGAACATACAGTTCATCTTACCACAGATGTTCCCATAAGGTCAAAACCCTACCCCACACCCCAAGCTACGCGTGAAGTCATCAAGAAAGAGATCGACTCAATGCTGAAATTAGGAGTCATTGAACATTCGGAGTCACCTTACGCTTCTCCCATAGTTTTGGTAAGAAAACCCGATGGCTCTAATCGTTTTTGCATTGATTACAGGAAGATAAACAACATCACTTTTTTTGATCCGGAGCCCATCCCGAATGCAGATGATCTGATGGCAAGGCTTGAGACAGGAAAGTTCTTTTCCAAATTAGATTTATCTAAAGGGTATTGGCAGGTGCCGATT